GAACATGCTGAACCACCGAATGTGGTTCAGTCTCTGGGGCAGGCGATACCACCGACCGTGGTTCAGCCTCAGGAGCAGGTGGGACCACCGACTGTGGTTCCACCTCTGGAACTGGAGGGAACATCCATGGAGGCTTAAGTTTAGTCTCAGAGGAGGCTTGTCACGTCTGTAGAGAGCTCTTGGCGATAGGTGGCCTCTGCTGAGGGACTCTTGGAGGCATGTCATAACCAGCTCTAGCTTCTGAAGCCCTTCTAACCCTTAGCTCAGGGGTCTCTAGACGGCACAGGGCTGGCTCAGGGGTCTCAGGATGACACAGAGCTGACTCAGGGGTCTCTAGACGGCACAGAGCTGACTTAGGGCGACGCCGTTTCCTACGCCGAGGGGTCTTAGGAGCTAGGCTAACCGGTTTATTGATTGAATTTGGCGATAAATTAACTGGTTGAAAAATATGAATACAGGAATGAATTTCAGGATCAGAGGCTAAAGAGTTAGGCATGGGATCTGGCATAAATCTAACTGGATCAGGCTGGCGTGGAGCTAAATGTGGTGGTTCGAAGGGGTAAATATCCTCTCTATCCCCATAAAAATAATCCCAGAGAGCAGACTCATTGATATGAGGAGCTAGATTATCCGACGAGGGAACGGGACTCGAAACGTGAGAACTGGAATTAACCTGGGGCGAAGAGGAACTGAAACCGGTATGTGATGCTGGGTCTAATCCTATAGCTAATTCAATGAGGTCCTCGAGGCTAGGTGGCTCGACGTAAAAAGAAAGCTCGGTTCTGACTGATTCATTAAGAGCAAGGAGGAAAGCTGACTTAAGTGCAGACTCGTTCCAACCAGAAACGGCTGCTTTAACCAGGAACTCGGAAGAAAATTCAGTTACGGACCTATTACCCTGTTTAGAATTAAGAAGGTTGCAGGAAACGGAGAAACTAGAGGACTGGCTAAAGGTTCTTTCTAACTCCCGGATGAGTTTTTCATATGTGCAGTCTTTTCTGGTTTTAAGCGGAAATTTAGTCTCCGCCCACTCAAGGGCTTCACCAGACAAAAATGAAACAACAAAGGCGATCTTATCCTGATCAGTAGGAAAACTAGAAGTATGAAAACCGAAAAATAACTGACACTGAAATAAAAATCCCTTGAGCTTACGTGGGTTACCTGAAAATCTCTCAGGCAGAGAAGGACCAGGTGACGAAAACGACGGGTTGAGTGCAGACCAGAAAGGAAGGGTATCATCTTGACTGAGAGACGACGTCACCGCCGGAGAACCAGGAAGCGGAAGAGTATTCGGGGCAGGACGAGCCGCTGACGTGGCGTTATCTTTGTAGAAGTGGCTAGTGAATGATTGTTTTAACAATAACTCATGGACGGGTTGCGAGTGAATAAGTGTCTGAGCGTCCTGTTTCTCAGACCAACGACGGAGGTGATCTGCTGGGCTTTGTGTTTGGCCGCAGTGTTCTGTCATGATTGGGTTTCACAGTGAGTAAGCCCAAGATGCAGAACACACACGGAAGCACTGGTAAAAGTCCAAAGAGTTTATTAAAGTCACAAGCACAAGGGTAAGAAGTGGAAACAGTTCAGGCGGGGGGCTGGTTCACAGGGGTCTGAGCAGGAAAAGGGAGATGGCTGGTAACTGAGCCTCAAGCTCACTGCAGGGAGACAACAGGGGGAAATCCACATGGGAACCTCTCGGAGAAAAC